TCTTGAGCGCATCCGCCAACTCACAGAGAGCGAATACAGAGAGGATTTTGATTTTGACTTGCTACAAATTTGGAAGCCGAACTTTAATATTCATGTAATTTGAAGTCTCTTCCTTGCAAATTTGCGTCTAACCGAATAAAATCTTTTCTGAACCTTGTCCACTTCTATCTAAATTTTGTTCGCTTCTACCTCTAAGTCTAACACTTTTCAGTCGGCATTTTCCACTGATTTGTTAAAATGCGCAGTTACTGCTGCCCTATTAATTTCCCCGGGCCAGATACTGGTAATAATTAGAATAATAACAATAACAGTAATAATAGTGATGGTAATAATCACGTTTTATTCTGAATGCTAGGTAGTCCTCGAGATAAAAGAAACTTTGCGTATCGGACAAACAGATGAATGGGCAATATGGGTACCTTTCGGTTTTCGGACTGAAATACATTGTTTGCCAGCCGTAGTCTAAATCAGCACCTGTGACCGGCTCGTTTTGTACTGTAAGGCCCCAAAATGTGACTCCATTCCTCTTGTAGGCTTCCAGAAATCTGCAATGAATTTTGCAGCGATGATCTATATAAAATACTAAAAAACAGCCAACGGAACAGGAATATTTTGGTCCATCAAGTCGTATATAAACCGAGTTTCATAAAATACGTGAAGGCAATCTGTACTTCAGCCAATTTTTCACTAGGGCACAAATAAATAAAGATGAACACTGGCTATAGGCTGGTTACAATTCGTTATTTTCAAGAACTGGAACCGAGAGGATTACTTTCCTTCGGCTTTCTAGATAACTCAAGAACAGAATATGGTGGTTATTCAGAACTGGAAGAGAACAGGATCACTAGCAGATAATGCAACTTCTGCCAGTGACCGCGAAAATGTTACCACTGGTGGCCTGGAGATTTATTGAGATACGAGTGATCAAAGCATTAAATTAATTTAAAGGCACTTGCTTTATGAAATAATCAGCCCACGTCGTGTGATAAGGCCCATCGGGAGTTCCGCGTAACGTCCCGCCGCCGATCATTTTTCCGCTTGTTTTCATCCATCCCGGAGCTGACCATGGGCTAGCAAACAATTTCAGATGACCATTAGTCAAATTTATTGCTCGCTTGATGTGTGGAATCTGAACTGGAAAATGCATCTGAGGATGAAAATCATCGTTAATGAAGCCTTTTTTTTCATCTCACTAATGCATTTGAATGTGCTCACGTGATGAAATCAGCACAAATACGAAATAAGCAAACTGCAAATTTCACCTGCGGAAGGAAGGGGTGGTGACAGAAAAAAGAACTTTCGACAAACATTTATAAATTTTGCACCTTTAATTTTCGGCAAAAATACCTATATTGATGGTTTCACTGAGATGCTCCCTGGCGCAGCTATGTCAGGCTCTTCAATCCTGAGCTTTATACCTACAGTTAGAACCCACCGTCTGTTCGAAGTATATGTGCCACCTTTTCGAAGGCTACCCGATTAGCCATCTTGGCACAAATAAAATTATAGTAAAAATTAGTTAAGACAGACTTTAAGTTTGAAATCTTCGGCGGCCAACGAGAATTTGCTAAGCGTGAAATCATTCGGTGTATCGTCGTAGGAATAGGCGTGCGTCGAAAAATCACAACTCGCTATCGGTACTCTGCCAATCGTATACTCGATGCCTCAAAGAAATAATATTATCGGCGAGTAAACAGTCTGATGAGCGAGTAAACAAGCTAGAATAATGAAGTATAGGTAAAATTAGCAATAAATTTTTCAGTCTGTGTTACTCTGCCGTTATCAAAATTACAGCGAAACTGTTACTCATGTACAACCCACCGGAATGGTCGGTCTGATGGCAGTCATTTTTATGAGTTTTTGCTGTGCAGCGGTATAGTAGCATAAAACGCATACAGCGTTGCTACAGCCAGCAAAAAGCCTGTGTGTGTTTAGAAGCGAGTGAATTTTGTCACCCACTTTCATCTCAGCAACCAGGGAAGTTGGGAGGCTGAAATTTTGGGTATATGTT